GGGCGGGGAGGGGCGGCCGGGATCGCTCCTCCGAGCAGGGAACGGGCTTCCCCGCCCGGACCGGGGGCCTCGGCGCTACTCCCCGCCAGGCCGCCCTGCCCCGGCGGTGTCACCCCTCCGGGCCCCAGCCAGCGCCTGGCTCACCGCGGCTCCTGCCCCTGCCCCAGGTGTTTCCTGGCATCCACTCGCACCTGGGCTGCAGGCGTTTTCCACGCCGTGTCCCTGCTACCGTTACTGGATCCCATACAAAGAGGCGTCACTGCAGTAGGTGCTTTTTTGCGCGGGGTCACGGCAGCAAGCCTTCGCTCCGGAGCTCACTCGCGCTCACCCGACACAACAGTCCCTTTCTCCTGCTTTGTAACTTGACTTCTGCAGCCTGGTGTGGTCTCTCTCTGCCAGCCACACTTCAGCCTTCACTTGCACCTTCTTATTTTGTTTTCCCTTTAACTCAAAACCAGTCCCGTCCTTCACTGAAATGCAGGATTCACAGCTGAGTTATTAGTCAAAAAACAAATTTCCCAGCCCCCGATAGTATCAATAAATGAGGCTTATGATTTGAAGAGTTTGGGCATAAAACTGTGATTTCTTGTGTCGTTTCTAAGTATCTTCTCTCTAGCTTGAGCCTCCACAGTAGCCTGAAATCTTTTCCAGGTTAGACTTATTTTGAAGAAAAAAAAAAATAAAGCACTGATAAAATAACTCTTGAGCTGTAGCTGACCAGTCGCTGAAGGATAGTGTCATGTCCTAGAGGTTTGGGCAGTTCATTCTTTATTACAATCAGTGACTTCAATATCAGAACATGGCACTTATTACAGTGGTGGAGTATTTGGGGATGAGAGGACTAGGAGAGTTTTATAGGGAGTGTAGTGAAACCACCAAACAACACAAAAATGAAGCCATCCCCTGGTTTTAGGCCAGTGGCATCCTTATCTTCCAAGTTACATGCCTTTCTGCTTCTGATCCACTTGCAAATCCAAATTGCCAGACCATCGCAGCAAAGGGCCATAGAAATTACACTTGGAGAGAGACTCCAGCAAATGAGTACTGGCTGCATTAATGGCCACTTAAACCAGTCCTCTGGGAAAGTACTGTTCACAGCAAAGAAAAAAAATTACCTTTGCAAATTTATCATTACAGAAAGGACAAAATCCTAGACAGAGTAAATATTCATTGATGCTTCTTCTGCTATAGATACCATGTGGTAACTCATGTAAAATACGTAAATATTTAACATATGCACTTATGCTAAATAATTTTCTTAATCATAAAGCCGTGTATAGTGGCTATCATCAGAGGCAAGATACTTGGCTAGGTAGACTTTTGGTCTAGCCAGTCTAGCTAGTACAACCATATGAGGAGCTTGCCATTATCAGTAAAACTGGACAGTGCAATTCACTCTATGTATAGATTTCAGAGCTTGGAAAAAGGGAATGGCAGGAGTGATTAATGCAATACATTATTCATGATTGAAGAAAACTGGGTCATACTTACCATATCAAAGTACATGTTCGTATATAGTCAAATTAGTGACAGGATCACTCCAGTTTATCTTGGATATAAGCTATTGAATATGTTGATCATACAAATCTATGTTATGTAGCTGATGATTATGCCATCAAATTCTACTAAATAATATTTTGAAATTCCAGACAAAGATATCATGAATGTAATTAGGAACCTAACAGCAAAAGATGCGTTTCTTATTTTAAGAAACTCATAGGTAAGCAATAGGAAATATTTGTTGGGGTTTGCAAAATGGGAGAGGAAATTATTTGTGCTAAATTCTGCTGCTGTCATCGGATGGTCATTACTATCTTCAGTTAGCATCCTAGGCATTTATACAGATACGATCACCTGGTGATTTCTGTCACTGATTGAGAATCAGAATACCATGAGGCAAGGGAAAAATAATGAGGTCTCTTCTGAAGTGAACAAAGTGCTATAGAATATTCTCATGGTTATGCAGTACTAAGCTCTCTGGAAAATATAGGACTTGACTTCTTCATCAATGAAAGAACAACCTAAGCCTTTCAAACTGGTCATTAAGGTAAGATAATGGAGAAAGCTTAGGTTGGAAGATAATACAGGAGAAAACAAAACCAAGATTCTCAAGTGCAGATTGTGCATTGATCTTTTGGAAGGTTTGTCCAAACCTCATCTGGGAAAAATGCATTGCTTTTGACAAAGAAATTCCTTCATGTCATCAGTGTGCTAATTTGTATAGGTCAATGTTGGATTGCTCTAAGGTTAAAATAATTTAAAATGACAGAGAAAAAACTGATGAATGAGAAAATTACTTTAGACTAAAGGAGATGAGAAAAGTACAAGGAACAGAGCAGGCCCACCAGAAAAAAGCAGAAAAGAGCAAACATGTGAGGTCAACATTTGTGAAAGTTTTCTAAGAGAAGCCTCCATTGTAGATGATAACAAAACACCAGCAGGGAGATAAACGGGCCAATGTAAGCTTTATTAAAGCTAGTCATAATACAAGGTGACATAAAGGAGATAAAATCAAGAGTCATGGTTCTGCAATAGACAGAACTCATGATTTGGGAAACAAAGCCTAGGAAACCATTAGGGCATGTAATGTACCTGTGGAGCTAGTAAAGTAAGTATAACATGGCAAATATGTAGTGATATAGAACTAAAAATTGGCCAGGTAACATGACAAAAAATTCTGTTGCTCTTAGAGTAGTAATAGGTTGTAACACATTTGGACATAATATTATACCACGACACACGAGCAAATTTCTACCTTGTATATAATTCAGGATCACATAATATGGAAGATTATAAAATTACCATCATAGTCAAAAGCATCTCAGAAAGGGAAAAATGCAAGTATTCAAGCAATCTGTTTCAAAGAAATCCAGGAAACTAGAGATAGATGACTCAGTCATAAACTTCATTATGAATATTTGGGTATGATGGCAATCTCAAATCCCCAAATGTGCTGGCATTATTTTCACGGCAATTCAAGGAGTAAAGAGCTTATTTTCTACTGTAAACCCTTACTGATCTGAATCTCAAGGAAGTCATACTTACGAGTTAAAAAATCCTGAAAATTTTAGTGTGTGTTTTGTGTGAAGACTCTCATCTCTGCCTTAATGAAAAAGCAAACACATATTTTAGAAATACAATCATAGAAAAGCAGATGCTTCACCAAGTATCATTAGACTAATATATGTTAACTTTGGTCCCTTCAGGCACAGAAACAGAAATAACCTTGAAAAAATTACTTTAAAAAATGGTGGTAAGCACCTACAATATAGGACTAAGATTAATTCTTGGTTCAGGATTTTAATCATGGTATATATAGCAAGTCTCCACTTTGTCTACTCTAACCAGCTGCTATAACTCTGTGAGGAATTTACTTCATTTATGCTTTTCAGAATATGCTATAGCTTGGACCAAACTTTCGAAAATTATTTGCCGCTCAGTATTTTAATTCACTGTCCCCACACACGAATGTATAAAAATCAGACAGGTTTCCAATATAACAGATGTTCAGTAACAGGTCACGATATACCATATTTTGTGCACAGAACTGCAGTTTTGTTCCAATATTTTTTGACAGTTAAGCTTGCTCGCCATAGCCTCCTTTATGTACAACATCTCTTCTACTGCCTGCAGTTCATGCTTGCTATTTAGCTAAGAGTACATTCATATATCAAGAAAACATACCTATAGCAAGCAAATATACCAATTGAGGCCCTTGCCATGCATATCCTTCCTACTTTTAAGCTATCCTGGCTTCCATATGACCCTTTGAGCAAGGTATTTTTTATACGTGTGTGTGTGTGTGTGTATGTGTATATATGCAGACATACATATGTACCTATATATACTACCAAGATCTGCAAACTAGTACAGGTTACGTCTTGCCTTAGTAATCCACCGAATTCCACCTGGTTTTATTGGCATATCAGTATAAGAATTACGCAGCATTCATCAGTCTGATAGAAGATCCCTGAAATAGCTGACAGTTTCTATCAAGACTGTGGTTTTAATCTATTTTATTTTTAGGCCTCTGTATCCACCGTTCTTTCTCTCATCTAAATTCCAGTTACGCTCTGCCTCTGCACTATGCATCCAGCTTCACTCATGACCCAAAGCCTACCCTGTAAGACAGGGTCCCCTCAGAAGCACTGAGGACCTCAACATCCCCCATTCTGTGCAGACCTGAAGCTGGGAAGGTGGGGTGCAGCCCATTTAATGTTTTGCTTGTGCTACACAGCTGTCTGAAATACAGACACTTTCAACTCAAACACATTGATAAAAAAAATCCTTGGCACTGGTAGGACAATGAGGTGAATAATAGCATTTAAAAAATACAGGTACATTTGTGCTGACAGAAGAGAGAAAGAACAACCAAGGTGGGAGTTGGAGGGGGCTGTTTCTTTGCAGGACAATGCTATTTTACACCCACTTAAAGCAATGGTGAACAATGATCCATAGGTCCAAAGCTGGTAGGTGTGCTTTATAACTTGGCTAAATTTTCTTGACAAAATTTCCTATCTATCTGCAATGTATCATGTTCTTCTGATATTTTTTTCCCTTTTCTTCAGAACTCGTAAGCGTTGGCTGTTACTAAAACTAGGAACATTATTCTGGAACACATTATTTGGTAATTTCTTTTCCCCTGGAAGTATGAATTCAGGATTTTTTTTTTTTTTGAAATGTATCAGTATGTTTTATATACTTCTTCACACCCCATTTCCATTTTGGAATTTTGCTTCATTTTGACTGAAAATATAGATCTAACCAAAAAGATTAAAATAAAATATTGGATGAGGAAGATTTTAAAGCTTTTGCAAAATTTAATACCTCTATTTTTTTTTTCTACAATGTATATGTCATCACTACAAAATAACTTTTAAGAATATTAGATGTGTAAAATAATTCATCTTATTGCTTTAAGTTTTCTTTGTCTGCGAACCAATTCCTTCAATAAGCTCATATATTTTAGGTAAACTAAATATTGCCTGCGATTTAAATGGATATTTCAGTAAGCAACAGATACACTCTTAATTTCACCTATTACATTTGCTATAATGTAAATTCCTATGGACAATTACATATTGTCCATAAGAACTGTGTTTAGTATTCTTCTCTTAGTGCTTTTTGAAAGGTTTAGTTAGTATTTTGTTTCTTCATTTGTAAAAAAATACGATTTCACTTTTCAAAAAATAAACTAATGTTTTAATTATTCCACCGATCTTCTGTTTTGACAACTGAAGGCAGAGTAGATCTTCCTAGATAAGTAATGATAGGTTTTATATGACGTTTATTTCTAACTGAAACTCTTGAAGCAACTGAATTTATAGCTCACTAAACATCATTAAACTTAAAAAACCCTCTCAAAACCAATTGTTTTAACTTCCATTGTTATTAAGCCTGAACAAACAAAAGAATTGCTTAAAAGGAACTTTTCCATTAAAACATTGCTACAAGCTTTATGGCTAGCAGGGAACTCATTTGCCTTATTAATTGTAGATATTTTTTTTCTCCAGGGCTTATTTTTACATTCTGAGCAAAAATCTTCATATTTTAAGTAATTCAGCTGAGAAATTTCAGTCTTCTCAATTAAAGCCCACAGACTTAAAAAAGTTTAAGAAAAAGTGTCTTCCACTTCACATTCTTTACATCTTGTCCAAAGTTATTTGTGAATGCAACTGAATTATTCTTAATGATTTTTGCATTAACATCATTATTGTACTTTCCTGTTCTGAATTTCCTCAGATTTATGTGCCTCGACATCATCCCCAGGGAACTGCCATTTACTAGTATTGCTTTCAATCCTCACTGTGATGATGATTGCAGAAAGCCTTCCCAGCTACTTTGCTCTAAGGTCATTATTAGTACTGAGAGCCAATTCCCCGACTTTCCCACTAGCTGCAACCTTTCTTGCATCTGTGGAAAAAAAACGTTTAGTCATGTGGTCATATTGCGTTTCTTCCATATTGTTCTAATACTTAAAATACTTAAATAAAATATTTGTTCTAATACTTAAGAACCCCTGCAGCAGAACTGTCCTGTTTTCTTTCTCACTGTTCTTAAGGAACACCTCAGTCCTACGTTTTGCTCTTTGCATCTTCCTAATCTCCAACAATAATTTATTTCGGGAGTCCAGGAGGATCTCCTTCTCCTTTGACTCATTCCAGGAGGTCCTTGTTGGGCTCCTCATACTTAATATTTTTGTTTCCCAATTCTAAGTAGTTTGCAACCTCACACAAAGGGAAAAACTCAAGAATGTTTGTTCCAGACAACCAGATCTAAACCAGTAGCATGTTCTAGAAATGTTGGCGGTATCTTTCTTTAGTGTTTATCCCTCCACCAGCCAAAAACTAGGGAACTCCTTCTAGAAACTCAATACCACTGACGCCAGTTGGGCTTCCTTTATTCAGGAAGGATGGAGAGCAAGGAGACAATGCGATCACTGGGCATGCAATTACTAGTGCCACTTAACTCTTCAGGCCCAAAACTTGTTAGGCACAGCTTCCTTTATGTAAATGTATATTCTCATGTCCAGCATATTGGTATTTAGTAGTTATCTACAATGTATATTTAAACACACATACTTCGCTAGTATTATGCTTAAATTATTCTAGCTGGTACGTGTGCTTTGAAAGTAGATTTTATGCATATATAATTATCTGTGATAGGTGTGTACCTGCATAAGAAATAATCAAATATCTATATGCACACACTCATCTGCAAATCCACCTAAACTACTTGATTTATGCTAGTTTGCCAGCATCAGGATGATTCATTATTATTCAGCACCCTTCTGTCCAGAGCAAGGCCTCCACAGTAGTTGACAGCCTCTGTGTTTGTTGTCATATACGATATTTATTATCATGTAAACCCTGAAACAGTTCATAGCTGTATGCTGTGACCCTGTCTGGTAGTGATGAGGTTTCTCCCCTTCTTTATGTCAGATGTGTTCTCATCTACCTGCTCAGTAAAGCTGCTGAGCACCGCCCAGTACTGCTTACCAGGCTTGAAGTCCTTCTCTGGGATGACAGGAGTCCTCTGCTGGGTTGATCTTGACAGGGCTCAGCAGCAGAGGACAGTGCAATCTGAAAAGAGACAGTGCTCTTTGAAAAATGCATACGGCAAATGACACCCCAAAACCAGAGTTTCAGAATTTCAGCTCCCTGCTGAAGGCGAGAGAAACTCTTAGCAGTTGTTATACTTAAGGTTTTTCAAATGCAAATCACAAATTATCATGTAATCTCATGGCCTCAGGATCGCAAATTTGATCAGAGCTGCATCCTCTTTGGGGGTGAAGTGAAAAAGCAGTACGGATGTATTGTTGACTATGAAGCAAATTAGAAAGTTTCAACTAAGTGCCACAGTTGCTTTCTTCCCCATAATTCAGTCAAGCCATGAAATGGACTGCCCATTATCTGGAGAATAAATTTGAGTTTCTCACTTGCCTTCTGGATTTCTGAGCTGTGAAGCCACATAGGCTGACTTTTTTCAACCAAGAGCACTGCTTTCTTCAGGGGAAGAGTTTGTCATTAACTCCCAGGGCTTCACGGCCCACGTTCTGTTTACTTCTACAGCACTTGCTGTTCTAGAGGCAGCAGAGTGGATGAAGCCTGCTTTCCTATGGACTTGTTTCCTTCAGTCTCAAAGTTTTTCTTGGTTCCTTCGTGACGAATAACCTCTCATGCGGTCCTCCGGCAGCCCCGGCTACCTCTGTCAGGAGACAGCGCGGCTTGGGGGTGTCTCCGTCATCTCCAATGACCAAAGCAGCTTGCCGTGCCCGTGCCAGCTCTGTGCCAGCCGGACCCTCCCTCTCCTGGGGGTACCCCTGCGTGTCGGCCACACAGCTACCAGCGCTCACGAAGCTCCCTCCAGCTCAAGGCTGATCAGATCACCTCCTCCTCGAAGGGTAAGAACCACTGTGCGAAGGGGACGTGCCTCCCCCACACATCCCAGGAGTGTATGACCCAGAGGCACCGGGCTGCCCTGCTCCGCTCCCTCCCAGCCCCGGGAGCGGTGGGGCCAGCTCCGGACCATGACCGGCCCCACCAGTTGCGTCCCCACTGAGAGCCCGCAGGCGGCGGGAGCCGGGTGCCTCCCCCGGGGCTGCTGGGG